ATAAGTAAATTTCTTTTCTCTTTGTTCCTCAGGATGTTTCACGATTCCGTCCTGATTTGAAACTAGTAATTAGTTCAGCTACATTGGACGCCGATAAATTTGCCTCCTTTTTTGACGATGCCCCAGTTTTTCGTATTCCTGGTCGTCGTTTTCCAGTTGATATTTACTATACTAAAGTATGTTGGATAGCTTAGTCTGATATTTGTGACTATAATCCCAAAAATATTCATGAAAGGCTTTATTATTAAGATTCTTTACATTTCTTAGCACATAAAATTAAGTAACTTAATACTTTTCAAATGTGTTTATCACACTTTTTTGCACTAAAAAGGTGGAATTTAAAAAAAATTTAGGTATTAATTTTCATTATTTCTTTTTTTAACAATAAGTTTAAGCTATAATAGTGGAGAGGTTTTGAATTTTTACTTTGGCATTACTTTAATAGTTAATATTTGATTGTTAAATTTAAATTAGTCTTTATGGAAACTTTTACACGGACTGTTTTTGAATTAGGTGATTTATTTAGTGTACCCTTGCCATCTACGAATGCGCAATACTAGGCCTTTCTTTTTTCCAGTTATTGTTGCTTATTTTACCCTTATAAGCGTGATTCATGAGTTTCATTTCCTTTATTCCGTTCATAGTGAATGGCCTTGCTGGACTCCTGCTAGTAAGGGTGTCACCTTTTAGGAAAATTTTGACTTAATTTTAATTAAGATTCATTGCTGCACCTTACGATGCTTAGGTCGATATTGCTACGTTTTCCATCGACTGCAGCCTCGATCTCTCTTAAATCGCATCAGCACCCCTAACGGGATTTGAAATTGGCTCGTGCGCTTAAATTGGCGACACTTTGTCAGTGCCCTCGGCCGCGTGTGGGTGTGATAATGAGTCATCACTCGACGGGAGCGTTCAAATTCGATTTTCAGCAGGGGCGCTAGTGAGATATAGCCGAGATTAAACCGCGGTCCATCCTGGAGAAGAAAACCTTTTGGGTGACATGGTTAGAGGATATTCAATGACACCGCGAGCCATAGTGATCTTATTGTGGAAATGTTTGACTTTGAGTCAGCATAGAATGGCTCAATTTCATATTTAATATTAATTAACAACCTAAAATCTACTCACATCGAATATAATATATGATATTTCATCATCAAGAACTACATTAAATTGTGGAAGCTATCATTGGCTTCATTGAACTTATATACATATTCTCTTGCTTATAACCTCAAAACTTGCATTTTCATTTAATGACAATTGCCTCCAACAACATAATTCCCAATCTACTCGGGGTTTCTTTTAGGCTCCTGAGGCCGATTATATCGAGGCCGCTGTAGTCTCAGTTCTGCAGATCCATGTGACCCAACCTCCAGGCGATATTCTTGTTTTTCTGACCGGCCAGGAAGAAATTGAGACAGCGAGCGAAGCGTTGACTGAACGAACCAGAAAGTTGGGCAGCAAGCTGCGCGAGCTCATTATCCTTCCAATATTCTCAACCTTACCATCCGATATGCAGGTATCGCAAAACTAGCCATCACTTTAACCTTTTTCTTGAAGCTAATCAATGCCATCGAAAGTTGCTACTGGTACATCGATTTCTGGTATGCTTGAATGGATTAGCATTTCATGGTCTGAAAGCCGAGTAACAGAATAAGATCTTTGATTT